ACTTGGCTCTTCCAGTTTCAATGAACCTTAAGGTATGATTGGGGCAATAAAACTGTAATCTTTAGTTCTTTCTGGATACCCTACAAAGAAGCATGTAATTGTTCTAGGGTCTAGCTTCTTCTCAATTGGATTGTATGCTCTTACTGTCTGCTATGCATCCCCAAATTCTCAAGTGATTTAGCACTGGTTTTTTGTTAGTCCACAATTCGAATGGTGTCTTAGAAACAGACTTGCTAGGGACCTTATTCAGCAAGTAATTTGCATTTTTGATTGCTTCTCCCTAAAGAAAAGTAGGTAGCTTCGAATTACTCATCATGCTTCTTACCATTTCAATCAATGTCCTATTTCTTTTTTCACTAACTCTATTTTGTTTAGGGGTCCCAAGATTGGTGTATTGAGCAACGATTCCATGCTCTTGCAGAAACACTGCAAAGACACCAGGCTGCCTACCAGACTCACTAAATCTTCCTTAGTACTCTCCACCTCTATCAAACCTTCTACCTTGATTTTGCAGTCTAATTCATTCTCTACTTCTGCTTTATAAATTTTGAAAGCAACAAAGGCACTAGATTTCTCAGTTAACAAGTATACATACCCAAACCTAGAAAAATCATATGTAAATGTGATGAAATACTTGTAGCCATCATGTGTTTGTGTTGGGAAATGACAGTAAATGTTTGTGTAGATTAGTTCCAGCAGCTTTTTACTTCTAGTTGAACATTTCATTTTCTTGTTTATCAATTTTCCCTTAATGCAGTTGGTACAAATTTCAAAATCACTATAATTTAGTGACGGTAGGATTTGTTCTCTAGCCAATCTTTGCATTCTCTCTCTAGAAATATGCCCTAATCTCTTGTGCCACAACTTGGATGAGGTGTCGTTTGTCAATGTTCGTTTGTGCCCTATTGTGTTAACTACACTTATTGGTATATTGTAGTTAAACTTGAACATATCACTAGTCAACACTCTGTCACCAATTAGCTTAAAACTTCGAAATATTGAAAAACCAATCTCATTAATATCAAATTTAAACTTTGATTTAACAAGCCTACTAACTGAAACTAAATTCCTTCTCATGGAAGGTATACAAGCAACATCAACCAAATCTAGCAAAAAACCATAAAATAATTCAAGTCTAACTACTCTAATGAACTATACTGCAACTTTAGCTCCATTGCCCACGAACACTAACACCTCATCCTTGTTTGACACCCTCTTACTAATGTACCCTTGCAATGAATTTGTTACATGAATTGTCGCACTAGTATTAAGCCACCAGGTATCATAAGATACCTCAACTAAATTTGATTCAAAACAAATTGAAATTTTCTGTACCATACCTTTGTTTTTCTTGCTTTCTTTATTTTCCTTCCAACGTTTATACCTAATGCATTCCTTATTCTGATGTCCAACCTTTTTATAGAAGAAACACTTTATACCAACAACCCTATTAACTTTTAAATGGTTGTGACCCCTATTAACCCTTCTAGCACCTCTATTGTTGTTTCTTTGTGGAGGGTTATTTCTCTCACTTGAAGGATGTGCAAGATCAACATGTTGCACTGCATTGACTTGTTTCTTGTTCTTATATTGGTGAATGTTCTGCTCTTCATGCACACAGATGGCAATTAGCTTGTTCAAGTCCCATTTTTCTTTCTAAGCTACGTAAGTACTCTTCAACTGAGAGTACTCAGGGGGTAAGGAATTTAGGGCAAGATGAACTAGAAAGGGATCATCAATCTTAATGTTAAATGCATTATACTTTGCAGCTACATCAACCATTGAGAGAATGTGCTCTCTCACATCACCACCAAGATACTTAGTGGTTATAAGGGTGTTCATAAGGTTCCAGTTTTAGCGTTCTTGGATTCCTTGAACTTGGCTTCTATGGAGTCAAGATATGCCTTAACATTATCTGACTCAGTGATTGCTCCTCAAACTAGGTCAGACATCGATCTTTTGATTACCAGCAGCGCCATTCTGTTAGCCTTAACCCTATTTTTCATATTCATTCTTCTTGTCTACAGTTGCATCATTAGCAGGCTTAGCTGGTTCACTCTTTCTTAGAGCTAAATCGAAATCCATGAGCCCTAGAGCTATTTCAATATCTTGCCTCCACTTCTTATAGTTGGTTCCATTGAGTATTTAAATTGAATTCAGGGAGCTAATTACTGAAAGATTTTCAAACAAAAATAAGCATTCAAGACTCTATATTCAATATAACTGAAACAACTCAACCTTTGTTTGGCATTCAAATTTAATCAATATCAATGCAAAGTATATAAGTTGCATAATTACTGGTATAACATGAAAGCCATCCACCTTTGTTGGGTAATTAACTTTCACAGCTCATGCATCTTACATTCTTCCCCTAAGCTATTAGTAACCGAACCAATATAGATTAGTCACACCTTTATTTAGGAATATAACCTTATTGTTATGGCTACTGACACAAGCTGATCAATCAGACCTTGAAATTTTAGCAATTCTTGAATGACTGAAATGAATTTGTTGTATTCCATTCATCCAATTACATCTCAAAAAACATTGATCATGTTATAACTTTCCGCATGTTATGAACCTTAAAACTTTCGATCATTAACATGCTCAACAATCAAGATTCTGAAGCAAACAATTCTTTAAGTTTTATATAGGCCAAAATTAATCCTTATACCAGTTATGCCAAAATTGATAGTTCTAGGGTTTATGTGAATGCGTGTCTGGTACAAGAAGTCATCATGGTACTTGTTTGCAGTATATGAAGTTAAGCATATATAACTCAGTTCTTAAACCCAGTCGTGATTTTTACAAAGATGCATGAATATGTAATCAGACATCATATGCAATTATTAAATATAGCTGCGGAAAACCAGGTTCAAATCTTGAGCAAAATATCAGTTCATTCATATGCCTTTGAACTTGCATGCATGATATAGGTTTATTCTTTATGGATTCTAATTGCACAAACGTTGGCTCTGATACCAACTATTAGACTTAATACATTTATGTAATATTAAAACACCATTGTACTAATCTTGTGAAGACATCCTTCAATGCACAGCTAGAACTGAAGCTGCAGCTAGCACACCAAAGCACCTAGAACTAGAGAAGGATCTTCTGCACACTCACCACGACTGTATTACGTGAACCTATGGGGAGTTCTCTAAGTATGTGTTTCGGTGGTGTATGCATGGACCTTCCCTTGGTATTTATACTATTACAACTCTAGTGCACATTCCCATAATCATGCACTAGAATTCCTTATTGTACAAGGATACAATCTACCAAATCTTAGTCCTAATAGGATAGTATCAAGAGCCCTTATTCTCCAATTATAACCGGATTATATATCTTACTTGGAGTTCAAGTTATAGCTTATAACTAAACCCTAATCGTACTTACATTCCACATCAATCCTTATTAACTATATTGACCTATTAGCCGTTGGATTAGAGTCTAACATCCAACAAAAACGTGTAACTTTAATACGAAACTCAGATGCTTCGATTAGTTGAATAACTTCAGTTTAATCTAATTAGAAACCGCATAAATGAAACCAAATTAAAATATTAAAGAAAACAACCGAACGAAATTGGTCACTTCTTATTTGGTTTGATCAAGTTACAAGTTTAAAGTCTAAACAACATTGATATGATGTTACAATGGTTTAGTGTGCAATTTGATATCTAAGACGTGGAATCGAATTGGAATTGTGTCTATCCCTTACGCTATATATACTAACCAGTTGTTATTTTAAAAATAATTTGGCTCACTTTATTAGAGAAGATTGATACTCTAAAGTGTTGTGCTATTAACACTAAACTAATGAAGACAAACTATTTTGACGACTTTCAGTCTACCACGTTTGTAGTTTTGAAAGGTTTCAATTTTGAATCTTATCCCACATTCTTAATTTACTTTGCTCTCCTTTCCTATATATTGTTGAATTCTTATCTCATTCTCATTACTAGTGCTACACCTATAGCTCTAAGTGTTGGCATGTCTAAACTAAATGAAGACAGACTACTTTGACGACTTACACTTTACCTCGTTCTTAGTGTTGAAAGGTTCTGATTTGAATATCTCATACCACACTGGTGTACTACATTGCCCTCATTTCCTATATGTTGAATTCTTATCTCGTTCATCCCTACTTGTGCCACACCTATATCTTTAAGTATTGTGTTGTCAACACTAAACTAGATAAAGACAGACTATTTTGAGGACTTATACTCCTTGTTCTTAGTGTTGAAAGGTTCCAATTTTGAATACCTCATACCACATTGTTGTACTACATTGCTCTTCTTTCCTATATATTGTTGAATTCTTATCTCATTCATCTCTAGTTGTGCTATATCTATATCTTTAAGTGTTGTGCTATCAACACTAAACTAAATATAGACTACTTTGACGACTTACACTAAATCTCATTCTTGATGTTAAAAGGTTCCATTTTTGAATACCTCATCCTACATTGGTGTACAACATTGCTCTCCTTTCTTATATACTGTTGAATTTTTACCTCGTTCATTCTTACTTATGCTACGTCTATATCTCCAAGTGTTGAGCTGTCAGCACTAAACTAATAAAGACATATTGCATTGACAACTCACACTTTACATCGTTCTTAGTTTTAAAAGGTTCCAATTCCGAATACGTCATCCCACATTGATAAAAACAAATTGTCACATGCTTAAGACGGTTAGACCTAATTTGGGAAAGAAAAAGGAGGTAAAAACGTTACTTGCATCACTAGCTAATTGCCGCAGTTGCTCATGTGAGCACAAAAACTCTCAACACGTCGCAATCGGTAATAAAACCCAAGTCTATGCCCACTTCTGTGTACACCTCTCCGCAGAAAACAACCGACTTAACGAATCGGTCTCGTTCACAAATTTTGCAGAGGAAAAAGTATCGTGGTTGTAGCTTTCTTGGCCACAGACTGCAATTTGCAAAAGGCCCCTCTGAAATTCGAAACAAGCAACACAAAAGGTACCAAAAGCTCCAAATTCAAGTGTAAAATACACAAAAATATAATTTGATATCATGATCATATTAACTAGAAAGTTTTCAAATTATGTTCAACTTGATAAAATTTAATCAAGGTCCTCCTGTTACCGCGCAAAAGACTTTAGATTAGAGTTTTATATAAATTTTCCACTTTTTGTAGTTTTTATTTTAAAAAAAATTATTTGAGAGAAGTTTTTTATGCATCTCTGTTCTGAGCTTGCAGGGGGTTAGCTTGCTGACATTGTTGAACAGTCTGGAGCTTGATTCAATGGTAATGCCTTTTCTTTTTTGGTTTGAAATCTGATTAAGATTAATGGGTTTTGGTTAATTTTTTGTAATATTGTTTGGAATTTGATTAACTTGTTTAGATTCTGTGTTGCTACTTTGATGAAGCATGTGTTATTTTATTTTGAACGATGCTAGATATGATGATGTTAACTACAAATTAAATTATGCTGATTAACTTGATTTAACTCATTATTTTTCTGTTGTTTCATGAGATTGTAATTTTGGGTTTTAGGCAATTTATGCTCTCTTTTTGGGTTGCCAAGATGGTATCTTTGTTTTTCCAGAATTAGTTGTTCTATTAATTTTTCCTAATTTAGGTAATTAGAGATGTGTTTTATGTTCTTCCTATTTAAAAGATGAGTTTATGGATTAATTCATGATCCTTGTCATTGATTCATTCATTTTTATTGTGACATGAGTAGGCCACTTCACAACAACTTATTAATCTCCATTGATTGAAGTGAAAGATGGATGGTATTGAGAACTTCGTCGATAACATGGCTGCAAATCGTGTAGCAGTAAGGAATGAAAAGCTCAAGCCAAAGGAGGTTGATCCTTTTCACAATGTAGCACTGGAGGGTCAAAATCTGCCTGAGTCACCGGTGGTGTCCACAATGGAGGGCAAGGATTTGAGTAGATGTGTAACTTCTTCATCTGGATTTGAGCCCCGCTGGTCTGCAAATGGCATGAGGCAGGTGGTGGAAGAATTAAAATTGAAACGTTATAGGAAACCAGACTCAGCTTCTAGTCAAGAATGTTGGCAAGACCCAGATCCGGCAGTAGCACGAGGTTTCAGAAGTAAGAATTTTCGTGGAGATTCTACTTCACTTGGCAATGATCAGAATCTGTTGAGAGTAAGAGGCGAGCTTAGAGAAATGTCTCCTCGCGTAAGGAGTCTGAAGCCATTGTCAAGCAATTACTCTGAGCAGGAGGCGGATAAACTGTCTGCGTATTTAAGGGCTGAGGACAGCAAGATTATGTCAAACAATATGCTTAGTATTGCCAAGAAGCGACTGAAGACGCAATCTACAAATAGCAATTCTCAGTTACTTGTAAAGGAAATGTCAAAGGGAAAAACAATCAGTAAATTTCCAGAACCTTATGGTGGTTTTGGTAGTCAGGTTGTAGGCCAGAATGATTTAAAGCCCCATATTGGTTCTGAGGTAGCTAGTGATGCAGAGTTGAAAGCAAATGCCAACAATGATCGGCTTTCTTCACATGTGCAAAATCAGTCTGGCACAAAATCTATCAGTTATGGGATCAGCTTGAGGGAGTGGCTTAAACCTGGGAGTCACAAAGTCGATGTAGCTGAAAGGCTGCTCATATTTAGGCAGATTGTGGAGTTGGTTGATTTTGCACACTCTCAGGGTGTTCCCTTGCAAGACTTACGACCATCGCGCTTCATTTTGTTGCCATCAAATGAGATTAAATACACAGGTGCATCAGCCATCAGAGAACCAATCAGTATTGTGAACCGAGATTTGATTAACAAAAGGCAATCCGAGCAGGATGTAGATGCAGATGCTGAACGTATTTTAGGTGGAACACAGATAAAAATGAGTGAAGGTAATGAGGACGAATATTTCATAGCTGGTCCAAAAAAAATTGAGTTTGGTGAACTCCAGTTCCGAATGAATTCGAGCTACCAAAATAAATTGGTTCCAGTACAGCAAGGGTCAACTTCTGTAATTGTTCAGTTGGAAGAAAAGTGGTATACCAGTCCGGAGGAGTTCAGTGAGAGAGGTTGCACGCTTTCTTCAAATGTCTATGCCCTTGGGGTCCTTCTTTTTGAGGTGAGAAGATATTTTCCACTGTTTCGACGAGTTCTTTTTTTGTACTGTTTATTTTTTGCTTTTGACTTCAATTGTTCTGTCCTCCGGGTTATTTGACTTGTTTAGCCTGTTCATGACAGTTGTTGTGTCTCTGTGACTCATGGGAGGTGCATTCCGCATTGATGTGGGATTTGCACGATCGGATTCTGCCACCAAGTTTTCTTTCTCAAAATCCACTCGGAGCTGGCTTTTGCTTATGGCTTCTCCATCCTGAACCTTTGTCTCGTCCAACAACTAGGTATCACCATCTGCAGTTCTCTAATTTACTGCCTTCTGCTATTTTTATTAACTGTCATAAGTATGAAAAATCGGTACTTTGGTAGCATTACAATATTAATCATTTAGTGCATGTTGACCTGAAGGTATATCCCTTATTTATGTTTAATTGGCCAAATTTTGAAGTTCTTATTTTCCGATGTGCTGCAGAGAGATCCTGCAGTCTGAACTGATGGGTGGAAAACAAGAATCGGCTTCTTGTGACGATTTCTCAAAATCTGCTGATGATTTTGATGCAGAATCAGAGGTATTACTTGGTTTTCTCAGCTCATTAAAAGACAAGAAGCAAGGTCATGCCTCTAAGTTAGTTGAAGATATAAGATGCTTAGAAGAAGATATAAACAAGTTTGGAGGGAGGTCCTTATCAGGAACATCCTCAGATGTTTCCTTAGCACACAAGGAATTTCATAGCGACAGAGAACAGGTTTCAGTGTCAAATATGATTGAGACGCAATTGATGAAGAATATCAACCAGTTAGGGGATGCTTATGCTTCCACAAGATCCCAGATGAGGCTAAAGAAAACTGCTCCTGTAGCACGCTCTGATAAGGAGGTGTTAAACAATCGATACAGTTGGCTTCATGTGCGAAATGGTAGTCAGGATTCAAGCACCAACCAGAAATCAGGTGATCGGCTTGGAGCCTTTTTTGATGGTTTAGCCAAGTTTTCTCGCTTTAGCAAGTTTGAAGTATGTGGGACATCAAGAAACAGAGATCTTCTAAACTCTAGCAATGTGATTTGCTGTTTGAGTTTCGACCGTGATGAGGAGTACATTGCTACTGCTGGAGTATCAAAGAAAATCAAGATCTTTGATTTTGATTCGCTTGTAGACAATTCTTTGGATATCCATTATCCTGTAGTTGAAATGCCACACAAATCTAAGCTGAGCTGCGTTTGCTGGAACAACTATTTTAAGAACTATCTGGCTTCATCGGATTATGATGGAGTCGTACAGGTGTGTGTTTTTTACCACAAATTTTCTGCCTAATAGCACGTAAAATTATGTAAATTCAGACATAAATCGAATCATGCATGCCTGTGCGATCTTTTAAGTCACCATCCTGTTTTATTTACGAATAAAAAATGCCGTGTTCATTTGCCTTCATTCAGATGTGGGATGCAACTACTGGGCAAGGATTTTCTCAGTATGTAGAGCACCAAAGGAGGGCTTGGTGTGTCGAATTCTCTCAAGCTGACCCAAAGAAGTTTGCTAGTGGAAGTGATGACTGTACAGTGAAACTATGGAGCACTAATGATGTATGCTCTCGTATATGTTTCTGAATTTCACCTTACCATGCAAGATATTTTCATCTTCATGACCTCGATTATCTTTCTGAAACTTTTTCATCTGTTTATGCAGAAAAAATCAACAGACACAATCCAGAATGCTGCCAATGTATGTTGTGTTCAGTTCTCTGCTTGCTCTTCTAATCTCGTGGTTTTTGGATCCGCTGATTACAAAATTTATGGCTATGATCTTCGGAACACTAGAATCCCTTGGTGCACTTTACCTGGTCATGGAAAAGCTGTTAGCTATGTAAAGTTTGTAGATGCGGAAACCCTTGTTTCTGCATCTACAGACAACACTCTGAAGCTTTGGGATCTTAACCAATCTACCTCAACCGGATTGTCTCCCAATGCCTGCAGCTTAACATTTAGTGGTCACACTAATGAGAAGGTTGGCTAATTACTCTGGACATACGACTTTCTCAGCATTTTTCATGTTTTGCATAGCATTTATCTGTAGTTCTAACTCGCCACATCTTATCTTTTCAGAATTTCGTGGGTTTATCTGTTTCGGATGGATACATAGCATGTGGATCAGAAACTAATGAGGTACGAATTTGTTTATCTTCAAGTTTTGTCCTCCGGATATGAATTAATACTTTTCAATAATGGGTTGGTGTTTGAAGCATCCTCTAGCCATACCCTTTAACGTGTCATGTTGTATTAGAATGAGCATGTGATGGCAAAGGGCCTGCGTAGTGTAGGATTTTTCAAAAAGATATGTTCCTAAGTGAATAATCCCTGACAAATGAGAAACCTTCCAACGCTTGCTCCAATTTTAACTAATTATAATTGTTCCGCTCTCTGTGCTTTTCCCTTTACAGGTTTATAGTTACTACAGAAGTCTACCGATGCCCATCACTTCGCACAAATTTGGATCAATTGATCCTGTTTCTGGAAGGGAGGTTGGTGATTACAGCGGGCAGTTTGTCTCCAGTGTCTGTTGGAGAAGAAAGTCTAACATACTTGTTGCTGCCAACTCAAGTGGAACTTTGAAATTATTGCAGATGGTGTGATTGAAAGTAATCGCCCTCGATCATCTAAAGAATCTTTTCTGTCTCCATAATTCTTTTATTTGTACGTCCTGCTAGGATGGCACTGGAAGCAGAACCTGGTCAGGTTGAAGATTACACTGAACAGAAATTCAACAGAGCCAACCCTTCGCTCCCTGGATGCGTATAGGACTGTAAAAGATATCAATTAACGGGCTGCTGGTGACAAGGGAACTTCATGAAGAAAACAATCTACCTGTTAATAACTTGATACTGACATTTTTGTACTATTCGTTAATGTCAGAGTGGAATGGAATGCAGACATTCATGTAATCACGGGTACAGCAGCGATGTTTGAGCTGGTCTGCCTCCAAAACTGGGGGTTACTGAAGATCATTGTATATTAACTAAAGGGTTCCTCTGATTTCCCAGAGCGTTACCTGGAGTAGTTAATTATGAAAGTGGACAGAAGTTAGCAAGGGTAGATGAGCGGCGTTATCAAAGAATTTCTCAAGTTATATAGAACCTAATCAACCTGTAAAAGAAATTATTAAATGTACAGATATCAGTCTAAATGCTTGGAACTCTAAATTTTAATAGAAACTGTGCCTCTTCTAAATGCTTTGCAAATATATATACAATCTCTTTTTTCGCCCCCAGCTGAAATGATTTCTGATTGTCTTTTGTCTTGCTGTTAAGCGGCAATATCTTGTCAGATATCATCACTGTTGAAGTCTCGCCTGCACCTATGCTCGACGGATGCCCTGAATAGATCGTTCCTTTACAGAGTGCAAACCTTCAAGCTACCATGATTGGAAGGGTCTACCACATTTTATATGTAATGTACTAAAGGTAAGCTCTATATGACTCGAACTTGTAAGTTTGTACCCGACTCTTTGTAAAGATATCGCGAAGGATCTCTGAGTTTCTGCCCATTCATGGTGTATGTATATCTTGTTCTGACTGTGAAATGAAATCCCAATGCTCTTGCAAATCTTGCCCTTTACTTTCAGGACTTAAACAATTTCTTCTTCCTCCGTCTCTCTCCTGGTATAGAGTTCTTTCTGTACATTTGAGTTTTCGTCAGCAGAGATATTTGTGTTCTTGAGCACATTTTACTTCTCGGGACCAAGCCAAACTGTTCCTATCTTGAACAGTGCTTCTCTTATGTTCGTCTGAGAAATCCACAGACTGAAAATTAGATGGAAGCTTTGATAAATTGTTGACACAATGTGTGACATGTCAAGGTCTAGGAGAGCTCAGAATCTGAGACATGTCCGGATTTAGTTCTCCGTATTCTTGGACTCATTTCCATCAGCTGGCTTTCTGAACCTAATCTCAGACTAACACTGCGGCCACAAGGGGTCATCTGTGGAGGTCTGGACCTTCCTCTTGGTGTTCCTGTGTAACCGAAAGAAAGATCGCATCAGTTCACATGTGCGTATAAGAATTAATCCTGTTTTCTTATTGACCATAGCATGTCTGTATACTACACTACTCTCCTTTTCTTATTTTTTCATGATTGTGAATAAGTTGTAGGTGTTTAATTTGTGTCTTGAAAATAACCAGGAACAAATGAGTTGTGTGGTTAGGGCAACCTGATAGTCTGTTGGCTTTCACATCTGATGATTTCTTCAAGAATGGAAGTTTCTTTTTCACGCTATCAGGCGAAGAGAAACTCTTCCTTTCAGGTGTTGATGGGAACGAATCATCTGCAGGGACCACAATTTCATCCCCACAGATTGAAGCTCCGTCACTTCCCGATTCTGAAGTATCCTTCAGGCTTGAAGACGTTCTTTCTCTCTCTGCGATCCTATAAACGAACATTTGGAATGGGATTTGTGATATTGGTGATGGTTCAGAAGTCCCCCAAGAAGGAATCTTTTTCAGAAGCCCCGACTCAATCTCACAGTAATCAACCATAGGAACCGGTGGGTCTAGCTGGCTGTTGTAATCAGGATTCATTGCAAGGAACCGTTTGATATAGCGAAGAATCCTGCAAATGGACGAGAAGCTTGGCCGTTGGTATGGATCACTATGCCAACATTTCTTTGTGAGGTTGGTCACATATCTAAGAGAGTAGAATGGGAACAGTGGCCTCTCCCCCGCCCTTATGTTTCGGCTCATCTTGTCCCCTTGGAGATGACTGTCCTCAAAGGGCACTTTCCCTGTCAGAAGCTCAAAGCAAACCATCCCGAAGCTATACACATCGGACTTTTCTGAGTACTTTTTCTCAGTACTTTTTCCTTGTTCTTGCTCTTCCAGAACTTCCGGCGCATACCAGATTAAAGGTAGGCTCCCATTCTGATTTGAAGTGTTTTTCTGTGTGGGGCTTTTGACAGAAGTTAAACCGAAACCTGAAACCTTGGTTTGTAAGTAACCTTCTGTGGAGATGCCTCGTGTTTTGACAAGTATATTACTAGGATTTAAATCTCCGTGGTAGATTTTCTTCGAGTGGAGATATTCCATTCCTCTTGCAATTTGAAGCATCAGATCAATAGCAACAGGAAGAGAAAATGGAAGACGTTTTCGCGGGCCACAAATCTCTTTGATGTAGCTGCAGAGGTCTTTACTCATGAGTTCCATAATGAGAAAACACTCTTTCTTTTCCTCATCCGTAAACCCACAAAGGAAGTGCACTATGTTCGGGTGGGAAAGCGATGACAACGAAGAAATTTCTGGCAACAAGGTTTCTACTTCTCCAATTACATGTCTTGAGGCAAAGCTTTCACCCAACCATAGGATCTCCTTATACTGACTTCCACCCCCAAGTCGCCGCCTCACCTGGTAGTCCTTAGACCCTACCAGGATTGAACTAGGTAGGAGCTTCCCATTCAAATTCTGTGTCTCTGATCCGTCTATGCTTTTGAAAAGGAGATCTATGAGGCGTTTCCCGTACTTTGTTGAACCCGAAAGTTTCTTTTCGCGGATTTTATGCTGAAGAGTCCATCTATCTTCTTTGCTTGCTGATTCAAACCTATTGCAGAAGTCTTGAGTAATCAAATACTGCCTCCCAAACCTCCACTTGAAAAGTTTCCAATCTCTGTAGTCTTCTTTGTACTTATCCGCAAACACGGTTTTCTTCCTCTGTATCTCATCCTGATCCCACCCTGAAACTTCTCCAGCAATGTCAATCGCTTCAATGACGATTGGCATGCAGGCAAGTAGGTTATGGATGTGAAACTCAACGCAATCGGAGTTCTGATAGAGAGTGATGGCCTTAGCCCACCAATCCTTGGTTTCCAAGCATTGTCGAATGTAAGCTTCTGCTTCTTTGAATATCCTGTGGAGCTCTCTCAGCGGCTGCTCGAGAACCCTCCATTTCATGTGCTTCTCATCAAACCGAAGATTATGTTTCATCTCCTCCGCAATTGATTCGTACGCTGAGCTGAAGATATCGAGCAGCAGAAGGCACTGCCGCTGATTGATTTGGATGTTGTCTTGGAACACCATTAAGGCCTTTAAACTTCCCATATCCTCCCCGATCTTTCGAAATTGCTCCATTTCAGGATTCGACTGCGAAGATCCTGAAATGGAACCAAACGTATTAAACAAAAAGAAGTAATAAGAAAACAATGATAATGGTCGAGGTATTATATGACTAACCAGGGAAAATGGTTCGATCGAATAGGATATGTCAACCACCAAACATGCAAAATGTCTTTTCTTGCACCGCAAGGAACCCCGAAAAATTTTGCTTCTTCAAGAACAACAATGCGAAGAAGGACATCGAAGACGATGAGGGTTTCTGCCAAATCTTGTCGATGAAACAGCAGAGACAAACATACTCATCTAGGTTTTCTCAGCAACCAATCGAATCGAAAGCCAGATTATCAAACTTGAATTATTCTTCCAGCCAAATCCGGCTGATAGTTAAAAGAGAGTACCCAGTACGTGGAATACAGTTAAAATAACTCAAAAAAAGGGGTAAGAAAAATTGTACTCCAGAGCGAAAAGTCGAATCGTGCCTAGCAGATCAGTAAGAAAACAATGAGATTTTCCTGGAAAATTTTGGATTTGGTTAGAAAGTGAAGAATTTTGGGAATGTTAAGTGTTGTTTGTGTGCGGTTGTCCTTCCAAGATTTCCCGCCAGCTTCGATGTCTCCGTTTCTCAATTTAGAAAGTGTGTTAACCGTTATAACTGAATTTCTTTTTAAATATAATAAAATAAATAACGTTAATGTATACTGAATTTAGAGAGTTATTAAGTTCGTTCTAATACAATTATAACTATCAAACCAGACCTTATAAGACGTGATACGTGACCCAAGAAAACTCCAAAACAAAAATACCAAAATAGCATTTCATAATAATAAAGCAATTAAATTCGTAACTAGTTTACTTTTCCAATCGTTTCCAGCCACATGACTGAGTAAATCAGTGGTGAATGACGAAACAAACACAAACAGGAAGGATAATGCATGCACCGTGCGGAAATCATTTCCCAATCTTAAAACCACTTGCTTGGATTTTTGAAGAGTGAACCTAGTGCTGTTCCTCTTGTTCGGAGGGGATTTGAACCGTGCATGCCATGGTGGTGTTGAGTTTAGGAGTCTAATGGCTTTTGGTTTCATGGTGTAAAATATGATAACCTATTTTAAAGACATCTTTTACTCTATTATCCGTTTGTGTTTTTTCCATCCATAAATTTCTTTTTTTTTTTTTCCTAATTGGCTAGTGATGAACTTTTTTTATATTCTTTGCTTTGAATCTCATTAATGACGAGTTAGATACTTCCTCATCTATAAATGTAAACATATTGTTGTATCTAAAAAGAATATCATACTTATTTGTAGATTGGTTGCTGTCTTCCGTTTTGGTTCGTTAAATAAAAAAATACAGGGTAAATTACATAAAACCACCTCAACTATTGGGCCAATCATAAGTTCATACCCCTTCTTTAAAACATTTCAATATCATACCTTATCTTATGAATTTTTTACAATTTTATACATTCCGTCAGTTTGTCTGTCAATTCTTCCATTAAATAGTGACGCGGCTTGAAACGTGACCCATTCTCTATTAAAAAATTAATTAAATATTAAAAACTAAAAAATTAAAATATTTTTTTTTGCATGGGGGACCCACCACTTATCTCCCTCACCGTTTCTTCCCCATCCAACCGTGTCCCCCCAACCTTCCTTTAATGCTAAAACTAGAAACCTTTACCGCCCTCTCTTCCTCCATCTCCACCTCCGTCTTATGGCGCTCTTCCCCCTCCCCCCCCCCTCCTCCTACACACCCATCACCCTCACCAAATTAATCCATGTAACCAATTTTAAACAAAATACCCTAATTCCACTCAAATCCTAACCCTAAATTTCGAATTCGCCTGTTTCGGAGAAAGCTTCAGGCTTTGATCAAGGGTTTGTGGGTTTTCGCTTAGGGGACGGGAGACAACTGTGCTTGGGTTCTGGGGTCGAAGGAGAGCAGGTTCGATCGAGTTTTTCTGGGTTTTGGTTTAGGATTTGGAAGAGGAGGCGGGGAGCGACATTGACGTGCCACGAGGGCCCGGGGGGGTGGATGACGGCGGAATCGGCGAAATCGATCACCTGCAAAAAAAATTCTGGGTTTTTTTGTTTCAAAGTTTGTTTGTTTCTGGGGAGGGAAGAGAAGAGTGGGGGAGTGGGATAAGTTGTCGGGGAGGGTGGGGGGGGGGGGGGGGCGGTGGCGATGTTGGCACGGGTGGGATCTGGGTTTGGGGTGGTTCTGGTTTTGGGTTGGGGACAGGAGCGGGGAAGAAGGGTAAGAGGGATAAGGGGTGGGTCCCCATGTAAAAAAAATTATTAAATGATTTTTTTTTAGTTTTTAATATTTAATTAATTTTTTAATAGAGAGTAGGCCCCGTCTCAAGCCACGTCACTATTTAACGGAAGAAGTGACAACCAAATTGACGAATGTATGAAATTGTAACAAATTTGTCAGATGATGTATGACATTGAAATGTTTTAAAGATGGGGTATGAAATGTGATTGACCCAATAATTGAGATAGTTTTATGTAATTTATCCAAAAATCTATTACAATTAATATTTAAATTTGACAAATTGTGGAGCATTAATCTTTCATGCCAATTTAATGATAACTTTTGTCAAAATTAAGCATGTAAAAACGCACGTGAGACCTTTTTAAAGAGTAAATTGGAGAAGTGCTCATATGTCCCTTTTAATAACATGTGTGTCACGTGCTTAATTTTGACGGACATTCTCACAATATTTACGTCAATGACTAAACCTCCATATGTTATCATATTTTAGATATTAATTTTAGACATAAACTTTAGTTTAGAGACCAAAATTACAATTTGACTATAATTTAACGACCCATTCCCTGTTTGACTCTTATGTTGCTTCACCTACATGCTACAACATATGGCGGGCCTTCTTCATAACACCATATCAGGACCATATTACGTATTCACTTGTTGCAAGACATATATGTGATATGTGACACAATATTTATGATTTCATGTGCGGAAAACCTATATGGGTAATGTGGTTGGTGTTGACTTGTTTGAGGCCAATGGTTGTGTGGTGGTCATCACTTTGATCATGTGGTAGAAAAGGTTGTGTTACTAGCTCCATAATATCAAGATTTGAATATTAATGGGCAGGATAAGCGTTTAATTTAATTTTATGGTTTTTGTTTAATACAATTGATATTGTAGGCCAATCTTTACTAAAGAGATGACGACGGTTTAAACCTCATAACGTAGTGAGTTGAAAACAAAGATCCTGATCATTAAAATAATTCACCACGTGCTTCACCAAGTTTGTAACACCAATGCAATCCAATCCTACCTCCTAAAACTATCCAATTCCAATGATCAAACATGACCGTAGTGTAAATAGTAATTCGAGAACGGACTGGTACCACCGACATGAATGATGTGAGGGTGAAGGCACCATCTGTGGCCTATATCTCTTGCTTATTCCACTTGTCTATGCTTCATGAATGGAGTTAGCTACTTTTGTATACAAATTGTATGTTTGCATTTATGTATTGAATGCTCTCTTACATTCGACCACTCAATCGAAGGGAGAAAGATTTCTATTATACGGGTATATCGCTATCATGATATTTTATGTTAAAAAAAAAGAATATCTTGTTGGAGAATAGGATCCCACATCAATCATATGACAAAAATAATCAATTTATGAGAGTTTTTACCTTTAATATAACATAAGTCTTTTATGATAAAACTCAACACCTAGTAATACTAATAGATGATTAAGTTAGGACAATATCAATGACGACGTTGATAGTAAATCTGCATGAGCCTGCAATGTTTATCACAACTACAAATTTTGTCTACACATCATTAAATAGTTGATACCACACGAGAAATATGTATTTTTATTGTGTAAGTTGTTCATAATTTATTGGCAGATATCTAGCCATACATGTCTCAAACTCCACACACTGATCGATGTGTGGACATTGGAGTCGGAAAATAACTAATGAAACACATCAATGCTTTGCATTGAATGTGCACAACTCTAGTGGCACTGAATCATTGCAGTTATGGTTAGCATTCATTTCAACCACCACTAGTTTCTAACAATTCCAATGCTCAAATTTCAGATTTTCCTTTATGGTACATATCATTAAATATTTCGAAAATCAATGGTTTAAATCTTGTATAAAATTCGTATTATTAAATGGGACATACATTATCAGACCCCTTAAATATGTTACATGTATAAATAACTTCTCCGAATAATTGCATAATTGCAGATTATAGTAGACCATCGTTCTAATGGAGAACATTTCTGAATAATTGCAGATTCATAATGATGCACTGGAAGGCCCAACTCCACGAAATATATGGAGAGCACAAGTACATTGGAAATTATTTTGTTTGTTTGGTAGGAGAATTTATTACACCATAAAAATCATTCCATGATTGAAGTCAATACCAGCTACGATCAGTTGTTAGATTGCTTGGATGAATTTGTAAAATTTAACTAACCACTGAAAAAGTAAAATTCTCACAACCTACTTTCTAAAGGTCACAAAGGTAAGATGAATTTCGGGTATTTGAAGGTTCAAACTTAGAACGTGAGTTGAGTTTACAACTTATTATCAGTGAGCTACTTCTCTTATCAAAATTCAAAAGATGTTAAAGTTTGAACCTCTCAAACTTAGATTAAGTCTTTCATAGTCCAGGCTACCCAGTAGTCCGGCTTTATATCTATTAGACTGAGAAGTAAGGAAAAATAGTATCTCTTTAATTCAATCTTGATTGTTTATTTCTCATACTGCTTAGTAGTCTGGACCATTAAAAAAACATTGCTCAAACTTACAACATCAGTTGAGTTTACAACTTGAAGGCAATGTACTTCATAAACTTAATTTGAACCTTTAATTATCATTTTGAAAGTTCTACTTAGACACGGTATGATTTAATCATTGATGAGTGGAAAGGAGGGTGCAGGTAAAGGCAGTTTTTCCACTCTGTGGGCTGTGGAAAACGCGAAGTTACTCAAAACTTAGAATTCCTGG